ATTCAGATGATAAATACAACTTTGAAGCTTCGGCATAATTACAAGCGGAGAACTGAGTAACTTAACATCACAGCAGGCATAACAACAGCCGGTGTTTCTTGTGAGTGTTTCCCCGGTACACAAACGCACACTGGCGAGTTTCGCCCAGACCAGTAATACAAACGAAAATGTGTCTTCGGGTCAATGTGACTGATTTCGAGAGAGCAAGTCACATTTGGTTTAGGCACGAAACATACTACCAGTAGAAATACATTGCTTTCAAAATCGCTCTGTGTCGAATCAAGAGATTATATTTCGTGACTATAACACGAAATGCCGTGAGTGCTTCATCCTCTGAACACCACACGATGGCGACTGTAACGCACATAACATAGGTTACGCTCCTCTGAAATGACTGTCCCCTGCAATTATTATTATCCCTCATGGAGTTCGCTATTCAGCTCGCTAACGTTAGCTTAAACAAACGTAACATGCAACGTTAGCCTAATCTAAAATGCTCTACTACGGCGTACCTTTCATGTGGCTCGTCAGCGCAGACTCTCGCATCCTTATTTTTGCAAACTTTGCAGGAGGCTACTCGTGGGCTTGACCCTCGTCTTAGCCATGGCTTGTATTTGTCTTCTGCTAGCCAACGCTCGTTGAAACAGCAACCTCCTGGCATACAGTCATCTATCACTCTCATCAGAATGCCCAGGTCACACGTAACACAAACACTTGCAGGTCGCGCGCATAGCGCGGGAAGGCCGCAGCGGAGCTGTTTTATGTAAAAGCGAAGCAATTACGCGCGCTCTGACTTCTTTATTTTTCTTTTAATCTAAAAAGCGAAGTAAAGCATTTACAATTTCAAGCACTTTATCCCAAATTCAAGCACCATTCCCAAAATGCACTTTTCAAACCTGGAAAACACCTCGTACAATTTCAAGCATTTTCAAGGATTTCCAGCACCCGTACGACCCCTGCAAGATGCTCCCACAGAGCTGCAACAACTTATCTCTGCAGATCCTCCCTCTCAAGCCGTCGGTATACTATCGGAATAATTCCTCGCTAACAAACATCAATAGATCTCCATAAACGACTGCCAATCCTACATTGTCCTAGTCACTCATGGTGTCCCCCAGGGTCCAGTCCTCGGTCCCCTTCTTTTTGTACTGTAAATCCTTCCCCTCTGACAAATCCTGCTTCCCTGCTATACCGATAACATTCAACTTTAACCTCCAAAGTCTTCTTACTGATATTAAATCTTGGATGCAACAGAACTTCCTTCAACTCCACTGCAACCCATCAGAAACACTCAATCAGCCCAACTCTGACATATAGTAACAATGAATACATGCTTAGTCATGAGATAACTGACCATATCAGAGTACATTAGACCCATGATCAGACCAATGATCACCCACTGTGTGGTCACATGACACTTTGTGACTGAACACCTTCCTGAATGCTGAGATCTACTGTCTGTTGACATGTAAGGCTTAGAGAATATTATTATTTATATGTTAAATATAACATTATAGCATTCAATTCTCTGATAATCATAATTTCCATTACAGAAGACTAATGAGTATTTCTCTGCACTCAGCTCCCTGCTAAGTTACTCTGGACTCAACTCAAACGATGTGCTGGACAGTTACCGTGAACAAGTCTTCGATGTTCCAAGTGCTGTAGAGAAGCTGGGTGGTGCATTCGCTGGGCTCGCAACCGTGCCCAACGCTGTGGGACTCGGTGCTCTCATCATTTCCATGATCTTAGAGATGGTCGGGAAAAGCTTGGGTAAAAAAACCATGGGCACGGCTGAAATGTTGCAGAGGGTGTTTTCAGACGAGAAGGGCAATGAGGTGAGACCCTGATGGTTCCTCAGTTTATTAACAGGTGCTTAAGGTTAGACTTCCTTCCTTTGTTTCCATTAAGCCTCTAAGACACCTTTAAAACACACATTTTAACGCCTAATCCTAAATTATTCATTTCATTTTACTCACAGCTGTGACGACTTGTTTGTGTTGTGTTGATGTTGTGCGACTAGTGGTTATTCAGAACATAACTATTTTATTCATATTATTTTCACACATTCAACAAAGAAAATAGGTTTTCATATAGTCGATCAAATCAAACCAAAAGAGGCTAAACTCAAATCAAATGATAAACAAACTTATATTGTTTTCTGTGCAGATCTGTGTCTCCTCAAGGCTTGGGAATTGTAGTCTTTCATAGTCTCTTGACTACAGAGGTCGCCAGGTGACAATATTGTTTTCTTTTCTACAAAACCAAAAATCTGTCTCTAACATTAAGTCATATTTATAAAATGTATGATTTTATTTCAGAACAAAATCACCTTCAAAATCGATATACAAAACGTTTTCTGACCAATATTTGAAATAGGCTTTCATAAATGTTGACATTCTTTTACTGTGAAGGTCCGAGACCTGATGGACGAGTATTTGAAGCGTCTGCAGATCAACTTGGGGAAGCCACAGCTCCAACTAGCTGAGACCCGGCAAATAGCGCTCGATCTCAGTGTGCAGCTAACGCGGCTAAAGGTACAACCTTTTAAAGTCTTCCAGCTGTATTTGAAGGATCATGCTACATTGATATCTCCTGTTATGTCCTTCTCAATCACTAATTCACTCATTTGAATACATTGTTTCTCAGGAGGTCCTTTGAGGAATTCAATTTAACTTAAAACGTTAATTCAACCGTTAACTCAAATGTAAATTGTAAAGTGGGATAGGCTAGATAAGCATAATGTACACTGCCTTCTATTCTGTATATTTATATTGTGTATTCAATGTATATACTCTATAGATATATATATCCTCATTATTGATATGTTTATATTCACTGTTTTACATATATAGTTAATCTTGGCGACGAAACAGTTTCCCAAATTGGGATCATTAGAGTATATCTTATCTTAATCAGTAAGTAATCCTATTGTCGTGGCGTTTTAATCTGTTAATACATTTAATAACCACTTTCGTCTATCTGTCTAACTTCTTCTAGTGTGACTCACAACAATTATATTAATAAGACAAACATTCAAACCATAATGATGAAAGGAAAATGGCTCGAACACCTATGTGCTCCTTTTTCTTTCCCAGAACTCCATGCTGGTCGATGGACATATGAACTCTATGCTTCTGAAGCAGTGGGTGAACGGCGCTGCGTTTCACACCCAGATGTTGATCCATCAGGCTCGTCTGGAGGAGGCCGACGGGTCGAGAGCAGTGCGAGCAGCGGGCGTTTATCAGCAACAGCTCAACGTTATTATAGACAGATACAAGAAGTACCTGATTGGTATTACAAGTATAGATCCATTATGGATCCCATATGGACAACCAATGTGTAATCTGTATTTCTACGAGGGGCCGTTGTCTGGTTATTGTGCTCGGTACTATATTGACCTCTGTGTCACCGGAACTGAACTGGTTGAGCATTTGTTTTTGAAACACCAGATTTCTTGGACAAAGAGTTATTTCTCAGACTTGGCAGCAAATACTCCAACTCTTGTGAGACAACATGCCGCCTTTCAAATCGGAAACCTACGGTGGCCGGCAGGTGCAAACGCTAAACAACGGCCAAAAACACACACATAAGCAGAAAACACCTGCAAATAATGAAAGGAAAAACCAACAAACCCTGAAAACACATACAACAGAAAAACGCTGCATTTACAGAAATGATGCAAGCTAAACCTACAACACACAAACCCTGAAAACAAACGCAACAGAAAAACGCTGCAAATACAAAAACGATATGCAAAATCAAAAGCACATTCAACCGAAAAACACATTACAAAAAAAAAGACATTACAAAAAAACATTCCGGAAGTGCTTCAGGCCTCTAGTGGGCGCGCTACGTGGAACAGATTGATGTCTGACCAGACATAGAGAGAACGAACAAGAGGAAAGAAAGTTCATTTAAGTGGAGAAAGATATAAAAGGTAGAAGGTAAGTTTTGTTTTTATACATAGAGCGTCATATTTACGTAGCTAGCGTTAGCGTGTTTGATAAAAGAGCTTGCAAGAGCCATTGTGCACCTAAATGTAACTCTTGATATAATATAGATATAGTATAGAACCGGGACGCCCCTCCCTACACGCAGATCACACAGACTGGGTGGGGTCTCACGCCCTCACCTCGTGGAGGGGGACTCAACTGAGCCGCAAATGCGATGCGGGTGATAAAAAGGAAATAAAATAAAATGTAAAAAGTTGAATTAAAATATTAAAACAGCAACACAACATTATTCCCACATTAAAAGACAGTCTGAAGAGGTGTGTTTTGAAGGTGGGGGGGTCGGTGCAGTCTCTGAAGTTTAATGGGAGTGAGTTCCAGAGGGAGGGGGCAGCGATGGAGAAAGCTCTGTCCCCCCAGGTTCGGTGCTTGGTTTGTGTGGGGATATACCTATACAGTCTATGGGATAGACAGGAGGTTGGCTTCTGATGAGTTAATTGAAAGACCGTTCTTTAATACTATTATAATATTTAGGTAGCCGAAAATTATCCACTCTTTTTGACTTAACCTAGCTGTCCTACATTTTATTTCTCCACAGATGTACTGTCCATTCTGTGGTTCCAGCGTGACATTTTCGCATGGCTTTTGTGGTGTCTGTGGCAGAGACATCACATTTCTAAAAGATGTGGCTAACAAAGTCTCTGAGGAGATGCCCACCACTAGTGCACATCTAAGTGCACAGTCTAGCACCAGTGCAGGTAAATAGGTTGTTCGTTTTATTACCAAACAATAAGTATTTATAGAAAACTTGGTTTAAAAGTTCGAATTCTGATATTATACAAATACATCTCTAAACTATGTGGCTTACCTACTGTTGAATGTGTTATAACATAAGATGTTCCTCAGAAGGGATTGAGGATGAGACTCCTATTGAACATAATGAGGAGTAATGAATGTTGTATTCCTGTTTTTTTTGTAGCAGGAAGCTCAGCTGTAGAGTCCTTTCAGAAATATAGGGAAATAAAAAAGAGGGAGAGAAAGACCTTTTTTACAAAGGGACGGCATAACTCCAAAAATGAAAAGAAACAGAAATTGGTAAAGGTATGCAATGTTTTCTATTATGAATACATCTGTAATTCAAATCTGCTCACCACACTCTCATATAATGTCCGAAAAAACGTTTTATTCATTTGCATGTTATTGTCTTTTTGCAGATTTCTGTTGGAGTAATGAGGAGGATGGATGGCTGCCTTAAACCTGTGAGAGGGAGGTCACTTCCCCTTGATGTTGAACCTCAATGGGCATGTGAAGAACTGTTGGCTGCTGCCATAAAAAAGCAGAAAGCCTATAACCAGGACTTCGAAGATGGTGCCCATGTCTTGTTGTACCCTGATGCGAGGGTGATAACAAATATCCCCGGAACGGACACCCCTTTCACAGTACAGATGTACAAAGAGGCCATTGGAAAGCCCTACCAACGAATTACGTTGTACATCTGTACTCTTGAAGCCGTTGAAAACAGTTGTAAGTGCCTCTGACATATATTCCCCCTTGTTTAAAGCACTAAACTGTATAATAGTTCAAATGTAAACATAACAGTTGTTCTGTCTATATTTCTTAACACAATTCATTCCACCCATCATTCCTTTCTCTTCGTGGTTGAACTTATGACGTCAAATGGTCTTTTATGAATAGTGGCAGAAGAAATGGAATTTAAGTATCAACAAAAGCTTCCAAACTTTCCTTCTGTTCAAACTAAATATAAATCCCCTCTTAAGGATTGTAATTCTAAATTAACCTTTTTTCTCACAACAATGTTGGTTTGTTGTGCACTAAATCCTAATGTGAGAGTGAAAAGGACGGTCAACAATATAATGTACATTTCACAAACATTTTGTGTTTCGATTTAATCCTTTCTGATTGATGTCAATCCAATAATTCAGGATTCAAACCAACATTTGATGATAGGTACAGACGTAGGGGAACAATTATTTTTATAGTATTAATCATGACACTTTTATTTTCTTAGGTTACACTGGAACAACCTCTTCAAGTGACGAGGACAGTGTGGTTGTTGCAAAGTTGCCATCTGGAGACAGTCTTGCTGACACCGTGGTCAGTTTGGATCTATCGTGGCATTTATTCTTAATTAAAGTGAATTTATTTTTATTTCAGTCTGTCATTTGTGTGTTGTATGCAGGTGTGGGACTTTCCAAATGAACAGAGCACTCCCAGAATGGACAACAGTTTGCCAGGGTAAAATAAAACATTGTCAACATGTTATTTTTTGCCACAAGAAGTAGAATGTTTTAACAGTACAGTAGTTTGAATATATTTTTTGTTTACCTTTATCAGACCTCTCAGGCACCCACAACCAGCGTCTGATCGGGTAAGACTAATTAAAAATGTAATTATACCATATTGTAGGTTTGAATTTGTGAACATGAAATCAATAAATACCTTTGTGTGCTAATGACACTGTCATTAGATCAACTGCATCATTATTATTTATTGGGTAAAAATAGGATGGAGCACCAACCCCATTCCAGGAAGAGGTCCAGTCTGCCCCGGGTCAGAACACCTTCTATAGGTAAACGATGTTGACAGTTGCATCGTGACTAGGGATGGGTATCGTTTGAAATTTATCGATTCCGATTTCGATTCCGGTTCTGCTTATCGATTCCGGTTCTTATCGATTCCCCGTTTCGATTCCAAAATTGTAAAATAAAGAGGTCAAACGTTTAGATAACAAAAATATATTTATTCTTAAAAGCTTTAACTGAAATTGTTACTAAAAAATATACATGCAATACAAATGTATTGCACAATAGCTGTGCTTTATTTAACTGAGCTATGCCTGTGGCAAGCTATTAACAGGCATTACACTTTGCCTTTTATTTTTATTTTTAGTGTAGTGGAGCCTCACTTCAGAGTGTTTACCGCGACCTATCTTTGGTGTTATGAAGTGACTGAGCTCGTGAAATGTCTACGGGAGGGCGGGGGAGCATCGCTGCGGGGCAACTGTGGACCTCTGTCGCCTGTCAGCGCAATTTATATGATGCCGTTTAAAAAAATGAAGGGCGGTGCCGGCCGTCAGCGTACCGAGCCGGCCGTCAACGGCCCGCTGACGACCGGCCGTTCTGTGATTCTCCAGGTCCGCCCTGTATTCCACCGGGTCACCGCAGCACCGCGGTGCAGACGGACCCGCTGGAATACAGGGTATACCGCGTTTAGGAACCGTTAAGCAGAACCGAAATTGTGTATTTTGTATGGGTACCCGGTACCCGGCATTTTCTTATCGGTTCTCATCTGGAACCGAGTTTCGGTTCCCAACCCTAATCGTGACACAGTTGTTTGGTGTGTATTTTTATTTGTACATTTGGTTGTTTGCATAGCCTCCAATCCCAGTGGGTAACATTGCCAGGAAGCAGAACCATTATACTTTCATACATTTCCAAAGGACACCGACAACATCTTACGTCTTAGTGAAGACGATACAAAAAACACCCACCAATATTTTTCAAAGATCAGATATTGTTTGTTGCATCCATTTCAAATGTTTACAAAGACTGTGCAGGAGTATGACAAAAGTACTGTTGTCAGTTTAGAACCCAATGTATTAAAAAAAAAACAGGAAGAGGATTGACTTCCTTTTGTAAATATGACTGTCATATATTATGTATTTGAAATGAATTATTCAACTGTCTTCTCACTGCAGCAACTACACAAATGTGTATGCACCGATCATTATCGACAGCCAGTCTGAGCCAGAAGAGGAAACGGAGCAAACTGCAGAGGAAAGGTATTAATTGTTACTTTTACCACTTCATTTTTTTATTCTATACTGTAAATCTTATTACTAGCTTCATCATTTAATATTACAATACATCACTTTGTCTTTCCCAGCACAGAATACCTGACTGCGCCAGACGTTGTTGCAGAACTCTCTGCAAAAATAAAAAATACCTCTTGCAGCAGGTTTAATATTAACCGATCCAATGTGTGGGATGGAGCAATCCGCGGCTTCAAACGGGCCTCATTCGACCCCTCTCATCAGATGCAGGTTAAGTTTACTGATGATGAGGGACAAACTGAGGATGGAGTGGACACTGGTGGTCCCAAGCGGGAGTTCCTGACCCTCCTTATGGAATGCCTGAGAATGAGAAGAATATTTGATGGTCCACAGGACAGGAAATTCCTCACGTTCGACAATGCAGGTAATGATGTTCGCAAATCTGTCTTATGTTCAATACTGTACTGTAAATATAGGAGCTGCTTATGGATTTTGCAGCTGGATTTACGTGACAATTAAATTATCTTATACTGTATATCTTTATGATAACGTGGCAACTGTTGGTTAACGTGATAATAATTTGACAACAAATATCAACAGCTGCAAAAGATGACGAATACTTTCATGCTGGGAGGATGATTGCAACTTCTATAGTTCATGGTGGTCCAGGCCCCCGCTTCCTGTCAGAGACGCTCTACCAGCACCTCACTGGAATGAAAAACACCAACATTGAAGCCATCATTGAAGACATTACTGATGACACTATGAGAGCTTCCCTGCTTGAGGTAGGCTGGCATATTAGGGCAAACATTTGTTGTTTTACTATCACAGCCCAACATACAACATGAAGTTGTCTCCCTTATAACCTGTGAAGAATTTGTTTTTTTTATTGTCCGGCCTTCGATAGTTTGTTATTGGGCTTTTATAGCCTCTTTTGGAACCATAACGAACAACCTTAGCTAGCTGTTATGGCAAACCATTAGAAATGATGCAGTATTTATTTATCATACCTAACTGTCATTACAAATATCATTAATGAAAACAAATGTACATTAGTAAGAACAAGTTTGTCATCTTAGAACAATATTAAAAATGTATTCCTCCTTTCATGACATGGATATAGTTATATATGCTTTAATATCTTGCCACTTTGATTAATGCAACTCCTTACATTAGGTATCATTCATAATTCTTGCTCCCCTCTGCAGCTGGTCAAAAATGATTGGGGTAATTAAGTGTAAAACACAATGTTTAATAAGAAGAAGAAGAATAACTTGGATTTATTTACCTTTCAAGAAACCAAAGGACACTTACATTTATGATACTATTGAATGATAGTAGTAAATCAGTCAGATTTAAACCGAACACCATAGGAGGGAAAGAAGATGTTACAATTATTGAGAATATATATTTTTAATTTGATAAATTACCTGTCTTCCTTCATATGCGATTTTGACAGCATATTGATTTATGTTTATGGATTATGATTGTTTTCTACCCTAGATATCCAGCGCAGCTACATTGGAGGAACTACATGCATCAATCCACAGAAATTCCAGCTTGTTGCAGACTGCAGGTTGCTTGCAGTACCCTGATGGTGTGGATGGCAAAAACGCAATCATAAAGGATTTCATGCAGTGGTACATCATTTACCGCAACCATTTTGCCATACAAAGGTAATGTTTCTGCACCGTTTAACCTAAGTTCAATATATTTGAATTGTTATCGAGTCAAACACATCACCATTTAGATGTTCAAGCAAGGTTATAATTTATATTAGCACCATTCAGACACAAAGCAATTCCAAGTGCTTTACACTTTCAGAAAATACAAAAATTGCATTTAAAACAAGCAGTTTAACGTGTATTGAAGCTCGGAACAAACATTTAAAGATAAGAAAAGCCTAAATCATGCGTTCTATGACCAATTGTGATACCAAGGCGATTGAGGGTTTACAAGGGTAGAGTTGTATCTATCGATTCACTGGACAATCCTGCATTTGGAGATCATTTTTCTTATCAGTTTAGTTACTTTCACAGAAGTTATTCTGACTTTATTTAATATATGTTATTGGTCTTGGTCAAAAAGTAAAATATGAAACAGAAATATGTAAAGATTATTGATTGATTTACTTTACTGCATGTAAAACCCAGAGGTCATTAAGAAATGAAGTAGATTGATGGGTCTTTGTGTCTAATGTTTCCTAGATTCAAAGACGGACTTGAAGCCTTGGATGTGATTCATGCTTTGGAGCAGCATGCAAGTGTTTTCAGAGCTTTTATGTGCTCAAGTGTGGTAGAGCTGACTTCTGCCACATTGGAGGAAGTCTTTGAGGTTCAGCACAACAGCGAAAAAGGAAGCTCAAGACGCCATGAGGAAACCAGCGTGCTGGGATTTTGGAGAGACTATCTCCTTGAAAAAGAAGGTTTATTTGAGTTCCAACATTGTTCACATCTTAAAATAATTAGCTATTAATGGCAGTTCTATCAATCTTGATATTTAAAAAAAACAAAAAACCGTAATACTACTTTTTCTTCTCAGAAAAACGAACAGGACTCCTCCTCAGTGACATCCTGATGTTCTCAACAGGATTAAACACCCTGCCACCATCTGGAATCCAGCCGAGACCCCAATTGGTTTTTCACCGGACATCTCGCTTTCCAATCGGCAGAACCTGCTCAAACACAATCGAAATACCAATGTCAAGCACCTACGAACAGTTTGAAAGTAACATGGACTTTGGAATCCAAAATTCGCCTGGTTTGGACTTTATTGAAAGCTGGGCTTACAATTTACAAATTAGCCATGTTCTTCATATTTATATAGTTCGCAACACAAGACTCCCAGGTCAAGGGTTGCATTAGACCACTCGTTCTTTGAAGGTTCTCAAAGTGTTCCTGGAAGTGGTCGTCTCCACATGGACTGTTGGTCGAGTCCAGAACAACTGGGAACCCACAGTCAGTTCCACCGTACCTGGATGTGCAATATGTTCAACAGTTATTATTCACATGTACAAAATTGTTCTTGAAATGTTGTTTTGTTGTTGAACTTCTTTGAAAATTAAAAAAGTTACTGTCACTTAATAGTAGACATTATTTGAGTAATAACTGACTGACTGAGGTGAACAGATTATGACACAATCTTAATTTATAGTGAACATTTTACTTTGGGGCAACTGATTTTTTCTTAGAGTTTTAGGCAGTTACTAAAAATAAATCTGAACAAAATTGAGAAATATGTTTAATTGATAGAAACAAACCTGTGTGGCAGGTTGTACATGACATCTGGTTTCCCGGATGGACAACGAGACTGGTTTACAGGTCTGATAATATGCGTGTTCCACTTTTCCCTGCATTCGTCAAGGTCCCTCTGTAGCACACCCATGAAGACAAACCGCACTAGGCATGTGTGCGCATGACTGCCACTGAAGTGATGTTTTTCTCTCAGGTCATTCATGAGATCCATCCAAAATTGAGACCTGAAGAAACAGATTCAAATGAGAGCTGTTTTTTTTATACATTGATGATTTCCATGTAAAGGGATTCAAAATAAATATAAAAAATAACAGTAAACCTGTGGTATCAAATAGTCATATTTCTAAGAACTGTATTAAGGAACAGAGATAAAGGGGTAATCTGTGTTTTAACTGATGATTCCGATCAATTAAATTAAAAGGAAATCAGCAACCACACTAGGCATACCATGTTTTGGCTGTGCCTGTGGTGCAGAGTTTAGTTGTAAAACAATTATTGTAGGAGATCGGAACTATTACACTGAAAATATAATTACATTACTTTTTATAGATATACTATGTTCACTGTCAAGGAAGTAAAAAAAAAAGAAAGAAGCACCACACCTCTGTTTTCTGAAGTACGACCACCAGCTTTCAATTCTTTGATTTGCTGTTGAAGAGCCATACATGTGACTGGCAGCCCCAGCAAAATGGTCAGTGTGTCTTGATCTTAAAGCACACTGGATGGCTGCCATTGTGCCGTTTTCAGTGCCGCAGTCTGTACGCAGCCTCATAGGTATGACTCCATGCTCTGTGACACCATCCATCCATCCATCTTCTTCCGCTTATCTGTGGTCTCGCTCTGTGACACAACGTATGTAATTTTGAGCAATGACCCCAGGGTCATTGTTCGTTGCTCCACACTTCAACCACAATATTTTTCTGGAGTAGCCATCAATACATCCGCTGATGGCTAAACCATAGGGCTTTCGCTTATCATAGCCATCAACATGCCAGACGTGGTTGGGTCCTTCAGAGCTGTATGTTCTTCGTACAAATCGTCTATTACTGCGAAGTTGAACTCCAGAGGCGTCAAGCTCTCTCATCAAGTTCATGACCTCATCCCTTTTTACAGTAAGGGAGTGCTTTTGCCGCAATGTCTGACACATCGAGCGGTAACCGTAATGCTGGCCAGGTCCATTTAATTCCTCTTGAATGGCAGCACGAACATTAGCCAGAGGGGAGTAGTTTTTTTTCCTTGATAATGAAAGACTTTTTAATTTACTCTTTAAAGTACGCAGACTTATTTTTACATTGTGGGTAGTTTCCAGAAAATCCAAAATTTCATCGTAGCTGAAGCCATTATGAAAGTATTTACGAATGAGGTCCTCTTCTGTGGGGCTGTCAGATGCTGATTGTAAAAAAAAAAAAATCACAAGGAGAAAAAGAAGAAAACATCATGTCATGGCTCACTGTCTCAAAATCTGATTCTAAATGTATAATGTTCTCCGATAGAACTAATACACAATTATGAATGTATAATATAAGCTGTTTTGTGTATTTAATCATGCATTGGTCTACAATTTAATGATGGCTTCTACATATTTCACATAAACAGACAATGAAAAAATGTGTCCTTCATGCTGATAACTAGTGTATGCATCTGCAATTAGTATTCTAAACAGAGTAGTGTGTTGAATCCTTATTTCTTGCATTTGAAACAGATCAATAAAAAAGTGAACTTACTGTTGTGTTCAACTTCTGCCAAAAACTGTACATTGTTGCCACAGGAGCCACAGAACACTTGAACTGTCCCCAGATGCTGGCCACAGAAAGGACAAAACATGGCGGCCTGAAAAGACATACATTGATGTAGTAAATCCATTTAATCAAGTCAATCAAAAACACATAGTCTAAATAGTGGTTAGCTAAATAAATAGAAAGATACATCATGTTTACAGTTGAATCTGTGTTTTGTCTCTCTCCTTGAATGTCTTCTCTATATTTGTTCTTGAGCATGTCTCATGCACACTACTCTCCTGTCATTACTTTGTCCCTCTTCACATTTTGTCACTTTCTCTCTCTCTCTCTTTATCTCTCAATTTAATTCAATAGCTTTATTAGCATGACCATAGTTACAGGCAATTGCTAAAGCTCTGTTTAGTTGCAACATCTATACACAAATGCATACATATAAACAAACTGCTAAGAATTCAAATGTCCTTTTTCCGCGGCACTCACTATGGCCCGTGTTATTTGCCTGCACTTGATTTGTCATCTCTTTTAACAATGTTCTTCTCTCACTTTATCTTCTCTTCACGTGAAGCTCTCCTCAGCTGGTGTAGTAGTTACTAGTTAGGCACGCTAACGCTAGCTACGTAAATATGACGCTCTATGTATAAAAACACAACTTACCTTCTTATATCTTTCTCCACTTAAATGAACTTTCTTTCCTCTTGTTCGTTCTCTCTATGTCTGGTCAGACATCAATCTGTTCCACGTAGCGCGCCCCCTAGAGGCCTGAAGCACTTCCGGAATGTTTTTTTGTAATGTCTTTTTTTTTTGTAATGTGTTTTTCGGTTGAATGTGCTTTTGATTTTGCATATCGTTTTTGTATTTGCAGCGTTTTTCTGTTGCGTTTGTTTTCGGGGTTTGTGTGTTGTAGGTTTAGCTTGCATCATTTCTGTAAATGCAGCGTTTTTCTGTTGTATGTGTTTTCAGGGTTTGTTGGTTTTTCATTTCATTATTTGCAGGTGTTTCCTGCTTATGTGTGTGTTTTTGGCCGTTGTTTAGCGTTTGCACCTGCCGGCCACCGTAGAAACCGACATTGAAGCTCTTTGTTTGTGAAGCCATGAGACCAACATCAAACCAAACTTTAATCTTAAACTCAAAAAGGCAAATATTTTAAACTGGACACGCAACGGATGTCCAGACTAAGAGAGAACAACTATTGCTATGACATTTGGTTTAGCCATCCATGGTGACCATAGGACAGACCCGGCGGGGGTCCCGAAATGTACATATCCCGGGAAATCTGAATTGTCAAGGGGGGGGGGGGGGGGGGGGGGGTTGGGGGGGGGGGGGGGGGGGGGGTGGGGGGGGGGGGGGGGGGGGGGGGGGTTGTTAGACGCTCGAGATTTGTCAATGGGGGGGGGGGGGAGGCGCTCGCGAATTGTTGTTACGGAAAGAGAAGGGTTTTAGGCTGTTGACGGTCTTATTATAGGCTACATACATTGGTTGGTTTTGTGGCACATTTGTAACGCTGTGCCAACTTGGGCAGCACGCAGGCAAACTTGAGGATCGCACACAGGGTGGAGAGGTTGAGCGATGGAGAGAAAGGGCGGGAGAGAGAGATTGAGTGAGGCAGAGAGCATGTGCAGCGGTCTGCTTGCGCACAGAGCAGTTTGTGAGAGAGCCGGCTTGAGAATCAATTTCTCTTCAAAATATAATTGATTGCCAGCCTCCCTTGTCCCTGGCTGGCTTGCTAGCTCGTTGGTAACGTAACTGATGTCTTCTAATGTGCCTGCATCTGGCGCTGAGTTGCATATTCCTTTCATGACCACTTCCTGATATCCATTGTTGCAGATAAATATAAATGATAATAGCCAAACTAACCTAGCAAGAGTAAACTGACAGGCTGCCGCATCTCACTCAAAAACCCACACGACTCAACCCAGCGAAAAACCAGTCTCGCGCGCAGCCTTTCATTCAGAATTTCATAGCAAAATTAAAAAATGATATTAAACCAATCTTTCAACATAGTTTAAAACAAAAATAAATATTAGGACAAAGCCCTACAAATAACAACAATACACATAATAATAAAACAATTAAAATGTTGTATTCAGCCCTTAAAACAGCGGGCCCAAATCCTGGATGGGCGGGCCCGGCCCCATGGGGCACGCCCATGACGCCGGGTCTGCCATAGGATGAATCCTGATGAGCCTTAATGTTTCTCCTATTAAGCGACATTATCAAGTCCACATTTATAATTTGCCCAATCATTTGGTTAATGTTAAAACAACTGCAAAACTAAACATTCCCATAATCCTCAGCTGTGCTTTGTGTTTCTGTAAATGAAACTAATCTGAATTTAGAAAAACGGTACACAGTGACCGTTAAACCTGTTAGCATATGTTAGCTTAGTCATTGTTAGAATGTTAGCATGTTGAATTTAGCATTTAGCCGAGGGCACAATACTCAGGCCCTGCAATAAAAACACTTACCCCTAGTTTCCACTGGGTCCGTCTGCGTCGCGTTACGGCTGCGCCGCGGTTTTGGTCCGACCTCCTCTAGCGTCATAACCAGTGTTGTGCTAGTTACTGAAAACCAGTAACGAGTTACCAGTAACGAGTTACCATTACTAGTTACTTCATATCAAAAGTAACGCAGTCACTTTGGCAGTTACTTACAAAAAAGACCGCGTTACTGTGGAAAGTAACGTTTTAGTTACTTAGAAAAATGTCTCCCATTAATGCCCTTATAGCCTTCATTTCAGTACTGTCATTGCATTGGAGAATAATACAATCTGTTGATCAACTTGACATGCCTTATATGCAATCTGGATTGCATCGATATTAGCTGGCTTTCCATTTCTGTATATTCTTTCTCCAGGTAGTTGGAAAAAGTTTTCCATCCCATATGCCGTGTGCGGCCCGGACATGCTATCATGCTAACTAGCTCCCTGAAAGCGGGTGACTCCACTGTAGCAATAGCCTGCATGTGTTCTACAACATACCGTGCAATGGCTTTATCCACTTTTCCCTGGCCAGCAGTCCCTTGGTTAAAATCCAGCCGCTGTTGCTTAGGTGGAGGTGGAGTGGCGTCGGCTGAGTCTCTGTGGTCTTAGCTACTAGCTTCGTCCCAGCATATTGTTTTTGCAGATGTTTTAAGAGATTTGAATGACTGGTTTGGGCAGTAGATAGGATCTTTGACCCGCCAGGACACAACTTACATTTAACTAAAACGTTATTTTCTTTGTGCTCGACAAAAGTGAAATAGTGAGAATATCTCCAGGTGGAGAAACTAGACTTGAGCTCCGCCGCCGCCATGATAGTCTTGTTAGTAAACAACACAAACACGCCCACAGCGCGTCTCCGCATGTGACACAGGAAGTATCTAAGTACATTTACTCAAGTACTTAAGTACAGTTCTCATCTCTGTTCGCCTGGCTGTTGACTATATAAAAAAACTAACGCAGTAACGGAGTAACGCACCATGTAGTAACGGTAACTGCGTTACTGAATACAAAAGTAATGCGTTAGAGTACTAGTTACGCGGACACCTCTAAACGCACCAGCTTTCACGCAAAGCATGTGAGAAGCCGCGGGAAAGAAGAGGATAAAAGAAGACTGAAGAATATCGGAGTAGTTTTTACATTACATTTAGCTGACGCTTTTATCCAAAGCGACTTACAATAAGTGCGTTCCACCAACAAAATACAAACTTGATGGTGTGAAAGTTCCTCTTTGAATCCAGTCCGAACTTGAGCTCTCCTGCTTTAGCAAGCCACGGAAGACGAACATATACTTACTCGTATTGGGTCAAACACCTCGGATATAATATGTATCTGGGAAAAACGCATTTCATTTTTTATTGATGTGTGGTGTTATAACTTGTGAAACTTTAATAAAACTACCTGTGCACATTTGTGAGAGGAAACTAAAGTCCATGTAGCCCTTCTGATTATTGTGACCATTCTGATGGCAATGTAACCTGTTCCCACGCAGTCCAGTTTGATTCCAGTGTCCTGTTCCTTGGCTGAGGATCAATCCCTGACGGAATCTTGCAGAGACACCAGAGAGAACAATAGGTACCTAAGATAACTCTGTGGCTGATTCTAAGTCATATTAGACAGCTGTAAAGTCCGACTGTTTTATAAACGTGAGCTCGGTCAGACTGTAAAACTGTACATGTTTACATTATTGATCATAAGTCCAAAATAGACACACAAAAAAAACACATACATTGAAGACAAGTGTTGATCTTGTTTAATTATAGAAATTCTTTGTTATTCAGAGTAAACATCAGCATTTAAACAATTCAACAACATGTGATTCCTCAGACCGCCAGCAGGGGGCAGCAGAGTCCTGACAGGAAGAAGGCACTACATCTGTTTACAGGAGACTGACATTTGTTTGTTTTAAATGTGTTGAGTGTAAACAAACACACCACATTGTGTGTCGAAACAGAACAGAATATTCATCAATTACCAAATTGAACTTCATCAGAACTTCAAGTGTTGCCATCCTGAGGAAATACAAACATGGGAAGGAGGATCCAATTATAAACAAATAACATTATTTTAACTTTTACAACTAAGATATTTAGTTTTAGAACTCAAAAGAGAACAAAACAACCACAAATGCTGGAATCATGAGAATATCCGTTAAATATTTATTATAAATTCATTCCTACATTTGAGAAACTCTCATCCTTACAAAATATTTGTTTCCACTGCTAAATTAAATAAGCAACAATTCAAAACAAAACAGATTAACAGCGTTTCAGGAATAAAACACTTCATTTGGTCCCATTTAAAAAACTACAGCCAGCAGCACAGTGATGACCTCACAGCCATCGAGTGTTCTGTTGCCATGACGACACGGTGATCTCAACCCAGCCCCACGTCCAGTGACATCATCACCACGAAGCCCACGATGGAGGTCCAGGACGCAAGTTTCCCGTTTCCACTGGAGACAAACAAGGAGAGATTTAGTGAGAGGAAGGAGCAATGTGTAGTACACGATCTGAGTACTTCTACTTTTACTCAAGTACACGATCTGAGTACTTCTACTTTTACTCAAGTACACGATCTGAGTACTTCTACTTTTACTCAAGGTACAACGATCTGAGTACTTCTACTTTTACTCAAGAACACGATCTGAGTACTTCTACTTTTACTCAAGTACACGATCTGAGTACTTCTACTTTTACTCAAGTCACACGATCTGAGTACTTCTACTTTTACCTCAAGTACTAATCTGAGTACTTCTACTGTTACTCAAGTACACGATCTGAGTACTTCTACTTTTACTCAAGTACACGATCTGAGTACTTCTACTTTTACTCAAGTACACGATCTGAGTACTTCTACTTTACTCAAGTACACGATCTGAGGTACTTCTACTTTTACTCAAGTACACGATCTGAGGTACTTCTACTTTTACTCAAGTACACGATCTGAGTACTCTACTTTTACTCAAGTACACGATCTGAGTACTTCTACTTTTACTCAAGAACACGATCTGAGTAGCTTCTACTTTTACTCAAGAACACGATCTGAGGTACTTCTACTTTTACTCAAGTACACGATCTGAGTACTTCTACTTTTACTCAAGTACACGATCTGAGTACTTCTACTTTTACTCAAGTACACGATCTGAGTACTTCTACTTTTACTCAAGTACACGATCTGAGTACTTCTACTTTTACTCAAGTACACGATCTGAGTACTTCTACTTTTACTCAAGTACACGATCTGAGTACTTTCTACTTTTACTCAAGAACACGATCTGAGTACTTCTACTTTTACTCAAGTACTAGATCTGAGTACTTCTACTTTTACTCAAGTACACGATCTGAGTACTTCTACTTTTACTCAAGTACTAGATCTGAGTACTTCTACTTTTACTCAAGTACACGATCTGAGTACTTCTACTTTTACTCAAGTACACGATCTGAGTACTTCTACTTTTACTCAAGTACACGATCTGAGTACTTCTATTCTACTTTTACTCAAGTACTAGATCTGAGTACTTTCTACTTTTACTCAGTACACGATCTGAGTACTTCTACTTTTACTCAAGTACACGATCTGAGTACTTCTACTTTTACTCAAGTACAACGATCTGAGTTACTTCTACTTTTACTCAAGTACACGATCTGAGTACTTCTACTTTTACTCAAGTACACGATCTGAGTACTTCTACTTTTACCAAGATCTGAGTACTTCTACTTTTACTCAAGTACACGATCTGAGTACTTCTACTTTTACTCAAGTACTAGATCTGAGTACTTCTACTTTTACTAAGATCTGAGTAATTCTACTTTTACACAAGTACACGATCTGAGTACTTCTACTTTTACTCAAGTACACGATCTGAGTACTTCTACTTTTACTCAAGTACAAGATCTGAGTACTTCTACTTTTACTCAAGTACTAGATCTGAGTAATTCTACTTTTACTCAAGTACACGATCTGAGTACTTCTACTTTTACTAAGATCTGAGTACTTCTACTTTTACTCAGATCTGAGTACTTCTACTTTTACTCAAGTACACGATCTGAGTACTTTTACTTTTACTAAGATCTGAGTACTTCTACTTTTACTCAAGTACTAGATCTGAGTACTTCTACTTTTACTCAAGTACTAGATCTGAGTACTTCTACTTTTACTCAAGTACTAGATCTGAGTACTTCTACTTTTACTAAGATCTGAGTACTTCAACTTTTACTCAAGTACAAGATCTGAGTACTTCTACTTTTACTAAGATCTGAGTACTTCTACTTTTACTCAAGTACAAGATCTGAGTACTTCTACTTTTACTAAGATCTGAGTACTTCTACTTTTACTAAGATCTGAGTACTTCTACTTTTATACAAGTACAAGATCTGAGTACTTCTACTAAGATCTGAGTACTTCTACTTTTATACAAGTACAAGATCTGAGTACTTCTACTAAGATCTGAGTACTTCTACTTTTACTAAGATCTGAGTACTTCTACTTTTACACAAATACAAGATCTGAGTACTTCTACTTTTACTCAAGTACTAGATCTGAGTACTAATACTTTTACTAAGATCTGAGTACTTCTACTTTTACTCAAGTACACGATCTGAGTACTTCTACTTTTACTAAGATCTGAGTACTTCTACTTTTATACAAGTACACGATCTGAGTACTTCTACTTTTACTCAAGTACACGATCTGAGTACTTCTACTTTTACTCAAGTACACGATCTGAGTACTTCTACTTTTACTCAAGTACACGATCTGAGTACTTCTACTTTTACTAAGATCTGAGTACTTCTACTTTTACTCAAGTACTAGATCTGAGTACTTCTACTTTTACTCAAGAACAAGATCTGAGTACTTCTACTTTTACTAAGATCTGAGTACTTCTACTTTTACTCAAGTACTAGATCTGAGTACTTCTACTTTTACTAAGATCTGAGTACTTCTACATTTACTCAAGTACTAGATCTGAGTACTTCTACTTTTACTCAAGTACTAGATCTGAGTACTTCTACTTTTATACAAGTACAAGATCTGAGTACTTCTACATTTACTCAAGTACAAGATCTGCGAGACACCGCGGAACTCAGCCTGGGCACACACACAAACTCACACGGGTGTGTGTGTTTTCCGGGCCGACCCCACACCAGTGAGCCAGCTCACAGTGTCCCGCTCCTCGCAGCAGCGAGTGCACTTCCCGGATGCACTGTATCTTCGCTGTAGCTATGTACAAATCACAATAAAACCTTGAATCTGTTGATCCCTCTTGTTCCTCCTTACCTGACTTGAGCCTCAGGTATGATGTCGTCCACCACCACGTACACCATCGCTCCGGCAGCAAACGCCAACGCGTACGGCAGCAGAGGTTCAGCCAGGACGACAGCGAGGGCGCCCAGGACCCCAGCGATGGGCTCTACCATGCCGCTGAGCTGGCCATACCTGACGGGAAACAGTGATAATCAGTAAGAGAGTCGACATTTAAAGTATCTGTACCTAAGGGGCCCTAACCCCAACCCTAGTTGCAGAAAGTCAGATTGTATAGACGACTATGAGAAAATGACCCTACTTCTCACTCTATGAATGACCTCAGTTAATGGTCTCATTCCCAGTCCTATATGGGGATATTTAGGGGGTCAGTAAGGGGTCTGTTATTGGGGAAGTGGTCCATGGTGGCCTTGGCTTTTCCAAAGTGAGGTGATATTATTGTATTTCCTTACAGTGTTTAGAAACAGACTCATGTTTTTCCTTACCAGAAGGATTTCCATGTTGACATCCCTGAACCTCGGAGCGGCAGGCTCACCGCTAAGCCTTCTGGGAAATTCTGGATGCCAATACCGATGGCCAAATTTCTGAGGACACAAAAAACAAACAAAAAACATTCAGAGGGAAAGACTCACATGAAACTACAAGCTACAAGACAGTATTTAATATGTTGTTGTCTTTTTGCAAAACACATTTTCTATTACACTCCGGTATATCAAGACCATCTTCTGCTGGTGGCGCTACCAACCAATGATGATCCATCCAATAGTAGTTCAGGCCCCAGATCTTAATGCTGATTCTAGAAGGACATATGAGCAATCATGCTGATCAATTAACTTCTTTTTGGAAATGTAGAATCTGTAGGAGTTTTGGATCATGATAATGTTCTTTGTTTTAATTCTGAAAGACAGACACAAAGAGGACTTTGTGCTCGCAGTTTGTTTAAACGGTAAACATACAGAGGCTTTGGACATCTCTTAAGTCTTCAATATGTCAACAAGACTCAATGGTGCAAGGTGAACTTTTAACCACTGTGGTAAACATTTAACAGTTTCTTCTTTTAAATCTGACAGAGATACCTGAACCCTCTCGACAGAGGAACCCATTACCACTGGATCGTTGTTGATTGATTATTTGTACAGTTCTCTTCTCATAAGGTAAGTTAATGCTTCCTCCAGATAGACTGCTTCAAAACAACAATGTACACATTCTTTCCTATTTAGGTTTTTGTATTCACTGAGTTTTTATAGAACTTTGTATACCTTGATCTGGGTCAATATTCGATTCTGATGGCCTGCAAGTTGTCCAACTACCAAATCTGATCAACATCGCTTTTCCTTTATATATGGACAGAAGAAAGCTCTTTACTTCACAATCAGTTCGTTAACACAGACGTCATGAAACTTTCCTCTGCTCTTTTTGCTCCCAGCCAAACAGAGAATGGGTAATTATGAGTCAATGCCTCCTGATCAGCGACTTGTGCAACTTGACAAGTTATCCGATGCACTGTTTGCTTCAAGATACTGGCCGGATATTGGAATTGACAGGTATGCATTGTTCAAAGAAAATACATGTAATTGTTTTAACTTTTGAGATACTATATATTTTATATAAACCATTAAATGATTTTGATCTTGTCACATGACTTCCAGAAAGATAACTCTTATCGTTTTTTACAAAATTAAACAAAGTTCAAGCATACATTAGGCTCTCATTACCAAAACTGCTTTTTCCCACCGCAGGAACATTGCTCTCCTCCGAACCTACCAGTCCTGTAGACTCTTGGTCTCATTAAATCACATTCAAGCTTTCAGAAAATTAACAAAATTCACAAGATCTGATAATTTAAGACATATTAATGTACGTTTTGAACAGCAGCTGTGGTCAGAAGTGTGGAGTCTTTTTAATCTTTTGCAAAGGTGGCAAACAACATGAAGAGCAATGTCTCCACAGCTGAGTGGAACTACTCAAACTGAAGAGAGAACTTTTATACAGTTACAATGAATACATGCTTATTCATGAGATAACTGACCCATGATGACCCTATTAAAGTACATTAGACCCATGATCAGATCACTGTGTGGTCACATGACACTTTGTGACTGAACACCTTCCTGAATCCTGAGATCTACTGTCTGTTGACATGTAAGGCTTAGAGAATATTATTATTTATATGTTAAATATAACATTATAGCAATCAATTCTCTGATAATCATCATTTCCATTACAGAAGACTAATGAGTATTTCTCTGCACTCAGCTCCCTGCTAAGTTACTCTGGACTCAACTCAACTGATGTGCTGGTCAGTTACCGTGAACAAGTCTTCGATGTTCCAAGTGCTATCGAGAAGCTGGGTGGTGCACTCGCTGGGTTCAAAGCGGTGCCCAACGCTGTGGGACTCGGTGCTCTCGTCATTTCCATGATCTTAGAGATGGTCGGGAAAAGCTTGGGGAAAAAACCATGGGCACGGCTGAAATGTTGCAGAGGGTGTTTGCAGACGAGAAGGCCAAAGAGGTGAGACCCTGATGGTTCCTCAGTTTATTAACAGGTTGCAAAGGTTAGCTGCTGTGACTTCCTTCCTTTGTTTCCATTAAGCCTCTAAAAACAAGCATTTTAACGCGTTATCTTTTCATTTATATATTTTACTCACAGCTGTGACGACTTGTTTGTGTTGTGTTGATGTTGATGGTTATTCAGAACATAACTATTATATTCATATTATTTTCACACATTCAACAAAGAAAATAGGTTTTCATATAGTCGATCAAATCAAACCAAAAGAGGCTAAACTCAAATCAAATGATAAACACATTTATATTGTTTTCTGTGCATATCTGTGTCTCCTCAAGGCTTGGGAATTGTAGTCTTTCATAGTTTCTTGACTACAGTTCAGTACTCGGCCCCCTCCTCTTCATCATCTACATCCTCCCCCTTGGTCAGATTCTCCACCACTACAACCTGGACTTTCACTGTTACGCCGACGACACCCAGATTTACCTCTGCACCGAAATCCCCCCACAACCCCCCCCTCACCCACATCGACTCCTGTCTGACTGCTATAAAATCCTGGATGCAACACAATTTCCTCAAACTCAACAGCAATACAACTGAACTCCTCCTCATCGGCTCCAAATCCACCCTCAGCAAAACCCCCAACCTGGCACCCCTGTTTCCCCCTCCACCCAGGCACGCAACCTCTGCGTAATATTTGTCCCCACCTTCTCCCTAGAGCAGGGGTATTCAACTAAAATCCAACGAGGTCCAGTTAGAGAAAATCTCCCCATGCAAAGGTCCGGAACATCAACATGTCTAAGTTGTTTTATGAATTAGTGTGATATATATTGAAGTAGCCTGTAGCTTTATCAACGTCTGCCATATATTTAGTTTTAGTTTTGATCCTGGTGGACTGATCATATTGGGCTCTGAGACTGCTTATTTTTTGTGACCTCAGTTCCGACTTGAGAGGGAATGTTTGGTCAAACACTTTGTGTTTTGTCTCATAGTGGCGTGTTGTCTCTTTTAATGAGCGCCACGGTGTCTGAACAAATGAGACACACTGGTTCTGTGCTCTCAGTGGGCAGGATGAACATGAATGAGTCCACTCAGGGTTCAAAGCTCTGTTCTCACTGTCCACGTTCCTCTTCTTGGAGAGCGCCATGTGTAACTAGAGAATGCAATTCCTGAAGAAATTGCTAGTGGGAATGCTTTATGCTGAAAAGCTGACGCTAAACTGCTACGCTGAAATGTAATGTGTAAGAAGAAAGTGAAGAATTTAGATTGAAATGAAACATGAACACAGGGGGCTTGAATGTGTGATGAGAAGAAAAGAAAGTAAAACGGCTTGGAAAAGCAGCAGAATATTTGAACTGCAAACTTCTGAACTAACTTGATGGCGAATGATCTGTCCCCATGGCAACGGCATTTGATGACACCCCATAATACGCTTAGATGCGTTGATGGCTGCATTGTTACCAAACCTGTGAAGTTTTGGGGCGTTTGGAGCAGTTTCAATGAAGTTATGAGAAAACCGTGTTTCATGGCGAGCATTGTGTTGCCATGGCAAAGGCATTTGAAGAAATTTCAAAACTGTCCCATAGATGTCTTCACGGCTGGACTGTTAGCACAAATGTGGAGTTTGAGCACTTTTTGAACATTTTCATAGGAGTTATAACGACATCATGTTTTATGGCGAGGGATGCGTTTCTATGGAAACGGCATATGATGAGATCTCAGATTTGGCGTAAAGCTGTTGAGGCATGGACCGGTGATATACAAGTGAAGATTGTGGGACGATTGGACCGTGTCCATTGGACTTACAGCCACATCGTGTTTCATGGCGAGTGGTCTGTCGCCATGGCAACGGCATTTCATGACACCCCATACTACGCTTAGATGCATTGATGGCTGCATCGTTATCAAACCTGTGAAGTTCTGGGCTGTTTGGAGTATTTTCACTGAAGCTATGAGAAAACCATGTTTCAAGGCGAGCATTGTGTTGCCATGGCAATGGCATTTGAAGAAATCTCAAGACTGTCCCGAATCGTCTTCACGGCTGGACTGTTAGCACACTGCTACCTGGAGGCTGCTGACAGCTGGAGTGTTGAAGTCTGCTGCATGGCAGTTGGAGTGATGACATCATCGTGTTCCATTACACAGGTGTTTATATTTGAGCTAACGAGCTCTGTAGAGATCACAGGTTTCCATTGTTCTGAATGAGAGATGAACCTCTTACATGTGAACGTTTTGTGGAAGAACCGTAACAGATATCTGTGAAATTTCAAAACGTGAAGCATGTCAAGGAAGTTGAGTATCTGAAGTGTAATTTTTGTGTAGTTTTGGGTTAATAATGTGGCCTTTTTGGCAGTTTAACTAAAGGTGTGCGGCTGCTACCATGAGGAAATATCTGCCTGAAATTACAATGGGGTTTAATGGAGGAATGTTGAACGTTTTTGTCACTTCATGCCCTCAAAAAGCATTTTGTTTAATTATTTTTGCTTAATTATTTGTCATTTTTCAAGCTACGAGATGTTTTCCTACGTTTATCATGAAAAATTATGTCCCAGGAATGTAGGGTTTGGGAATTATGGCAGTTTAAAAAAAATATATGAAGGCACATTTCAAGATTTCTTACCCTCTAGCTGTGACATCACGCACTCTAGTTAATGTTCAAATGTGAAGAAAACCTCTAAAACAAGGTCTGAACAAATGTTAATATCTCTAAAAGTAAGAATCAGAATAAAAAGTTGTTTTACACAAATAATGTCAGAAAGATTTGTAACATTTTAAAGTTGGAATGAGGTTTCTGAGTGAAAGTATGAATGAACAGTTAGCAGTTGAAGTCGCATGAAGATTTGTTGAAGTCTGAAGATTTCCTCCATTGTCTTCAATGTTAAAAATGTGATGTATTATGGGATGTATCTCTGGAATTATGAAAGGTATGAATGAGAAAAGTAATAGCCATCAATTCCCAACCAAGCTGAACATTTTGATGTTTGAACGGAGTTTCTGCGATGTTCAATGCGGGAGAAGAAGAGGGCCAAAATAACCCGGCGGAATAATAATAATTTGTAAACAGCATTCACACTAAATTATTTGTCTCTCCTGTCTGCCGCTAACACGCCTGTTCACTCTCCTCTCCGTCTTCTCTCCCTGTATCGCTAATTATTCTCTTCACTCACTTTCCTCTCCGCTTCTCTCTGCCGCGCTCTCGTCTCTTCTTCTGTGTTTCTCTCCCTGTATCGCTCACTCGTCTCTTTCACCCCCTGTCGGCGGCGGTTAAAATAGAATCACCCCGTCAAAATTGAAATCCCCTATTAATGTATTGATTATAGGTCCGGGTCCGTATAGGTCGGCGTCTGGGTCCGCATCCGGACCGCGGTCCGCCTGTTGCCGACCCCTGCTCTAGAGCCTCACATCCGCCAAGTTGTTAAAACCTCATTTTTCCACCTCCGCAACATTGCTAAACTCCGTCCCTTTCTCACCCGCCCTGCATCTGAGCGACTCATTCACGCCTTCATCTCCTCCCGTCTTGATTACTGTAACTCACTCCTCTACGGCATCAGCTCCACCTCCCTCAATAGACTCCAGCGTGTCCAGAACACAGCTGCCAGATTCCTCACCCACACCAAGTCATGGCATCACATCACCCCGGTCCTCAAAGAACTCCACTGGCTTCCCGTTTCACACTGCATCCACTACAAACTCCTTGTCCTCACTTTCAAAGCCCTCCACCATCTGCCCCCCACCTACCTCACTGACCTCCTCATCCTCTACCAACAACTCAGACCCACCTCAGCCGGTTTGCTTTCCACCCCCAAGGCCAAACTCCGGAGCTTTGGGGACAGAGCCTTCTCTGTGGCAGCCCCGAAGCTCTGGAACTCCCTCCTCCAAGACCTCCGTGACTCTGAGTCCCTCACCTTGTTCCAGTCCCGCCTCAAGACCCATCTCTTCTCATCAGTACACTCATAGCCCCCCCCATCAATCTCTGTCTGTCGTTCGTCTGTCCCTCTCCCATACCCAGGGGCATTTCCTGGACCTGAAAACATTCGGGGCTTAGCCCACAGTGATGGCGGCCGCGGCGCTACTGTGGAATGTTCTACTGCAACACTCCCCACAAGCAAACACACAGTACACCCGCGACTGTTAATGAATGCTCGATAATCAGCTCACGGCATATAGGCAGGGGTAAAGTGCTATTTTTTACGAGTGGGGGGCGGACCTCACCTCCTCTAGGGGGGTCCGGGGGGATGCTCCCAGGCCAGGCAACGCCACTACCCATACCCCCCACCACTCCAAACTGTAAAGCGACTTTGAGACTTGAAAAGCGCTATATAAATTCAAATTATTATTATTATTACAGAGGTCGCCACTAGGTGACAATATTTGACCTTTTCACAAAACAAAAAAACTGTCTCTAACATTAAGTCATATTTATAAAATTAATGATTTTATTTCAGAACAAATGTTTAACCTTTTAAAGTTAACCCTTCAAAATCGATATATAAAACGTTTATCTGACCAATATTTGAAATAGGCTTTCATAAATGTTGACATTCTTTTACTGTGAAGGTCCGAGACCTGATGGACGAGTATTTAAAGCGTCTGCAGATCAACTTGGGGAAGCCACAGCTCCAACTAGCTGAGACCCGGCAAATAGAGCTCGTTCTCAGTGCGCAGCTAACGCGGCTAAAGGTACAACCGAGTAAAAGTCTTCCAGCTGTATTTGAAGGATCATGCTACATTGATATCTCCTGTAATGTTCTTCTCAATCAACCGAGGTCCCTTGATATCCTCATTATTGATATGTTTATATTCACTGTTTTGCCTATTTAGTTTCCCAAATTGGGATCATTAGAGTATATATTATCTTAATCATATATTATATTTTATATTGTTGCATCGATTCAGTTGTCTTGTCTCATCTGTCATCTGTTTATTTAATTTAATTTGTATTATCATACATTTTACCTCCTCGTGTCTATTAACCTGTAAAGTTCTTAACAAATAATCTTTGGGGAATTTTCTGCATGTGTTGTATGAAAAGTGCTATATAAATAAAGCTTTATTATTATTAATAATCAGTAAGTAATCCTACATTATTGTGCTCCTTTTTCTTTCCCAGAACTCCATGCTGGTCGATGGACATATGAACTCTATGCTTCTGAAGCAGTGGGTGAACGGCGCTGCGTTTCACACCCAGATGTTGATCCATCAGGCTCGTCTGGAGGAGGCCGACGGGTCGAGAGCGGTACGAGCAGCGGGCGTTTATCAGCAACAGCTCAACGTTATTATAGACAGATACAAGAAGTACCTGATTGGTATTACAAGTATACAATACGATCACGATAGCACTAGTGTATATTGTTGTCTGTATAAAGAGATCTATTTTCAAGTTAAATGTTTCAAAAAGGAATATTCAGACTGTGTCACCGAAACTGAACTGGTTGAGCATTTGTTTTCGAAACAGCAGATTTCTTGGACAAATAGTTATTTCTCAGACTTAGCAGCAGATATTCCGACTCTTGTGAGACAACATGCCACCTTTCAAATCCAAAACCAACATTGAAGCTCTTTGTTTGTGAAGCCATGAGACCAACATCAAACCAAACTTTACTCTTAAACTCAAAAAGGCAAATATTTTAAACTGGACACGCAACGGATGTCCAGACTAAGAGAGAACAACTATTGCTATGACATTTGGTTTATCCATCCATGGTGACCATAGGATGAATCCTGATGACATTATCAAGTCCACATTTATAATTTCCCCAATAATTTGGTTTATGTTTAAAAAAACTGTAAAACTAAACATTCCCATAATCCTCAGCTGTGCTTTGTGTTTCTGTAAATGAAAGCAATCTGACGCAATTTAGAAAAACGGTACACAGTGACCGTTAAACCTGTTAGCATATGTTAGCTTAGTCATTGTTAGAAAGTTAGCATGTTGAATTTAGCATTTAGCCGAGGGCACAATACTCAGGCCCTGCAATAAAGAACTCTTACTGTATGCCTTATGAATGCACAATAACAAGGAGAGAGACATGCTATGCAGAGAGTTGGTCAATGTCTGTGTATGTGTTTCGTGTATCTGCATTTGCATGTGAGGTTGGTAAGGGTTAGATGCAGTGAATTAAATGTGTGTATTTTACAACCAATGTCTTATTATTGAATTTTTTTAACATACTATATAATTGTTTACAAGAATACAAAGTTCTTCATACATCAAACGTCCTAATATTGCTCTCAAAGTGCACCAGATTGATGCATTTGACTTTAAATTGGACACAATTTTCCTCTGGGGTAGCAACACCCAGCATGGTCTCACAAATAATATGGGAATCACTGACATCTTCTTTACAAAGCTTCCTGCAGCTCTATAGTGTAACCAGTAGATGTCAGCAGCACACAGCAGAGACAGCTGTAAAGTCTGACCGTTTTATTACAATGACCTCAAAGGCAAGTCTAAACACACCAATGACACACATCTCGTCTTTTACTAACTGTTCCACATATGAGAAACCAATCACAGCACTTCTTATGTCCAGATGCTGAACGTGCTGCTCTTCCATGTTCACTGCATGTGTTTCTTTGCATGTCACCAATCTTACCTGGCACTTTCAAAAGAAGCAGATGAGGTCTTTCCAATAGCTCCAAATGCAACGCCCACAGCCAAACCCTCTGCAGAAGAAAGTCAGACAATGAATCCCTGTTAGTGCCACATATATCCTTGGAAAAGAAAAAAAACATTTAAACACAGAGAAAGGGAAAATACTTGCAACGTGAGGACAACAAGTGGAACCAGAATCAATAAACAGTGTAAAGAATAAAAAACCTATGGGTCTGGAAAGTCATTTCTTCATATATTTTATATTGTACATGAATGTTTTTAGGCCTTTCTTCTATTGTCATGTTTCCACTGATGAAACCAGCATCTGGGATTATATCTCCTGAACCATATCTCCAGAGTCAGTCCTTAGAATTAAACATATTTCCTCAACTACTGATCCATACCTGACATTTTTACTGTAATTCCCGACTGCAAAAGCACAACAGGCTGCAAGAAGAAGACTTTCTGCAATTATGACCACCATAGAGCCTGTCTGTGTTTCCTTGTTGCATGCTCTGTACACCCCGGGCAGATGCCTGTCATGCATACTCAAAGTACACACTGTTTGAATGGAAATTGAAAAGGTCACCATGTACCTATGAGTGTATCCGTGTGGCAGTCAGAACTACAGGCTATTTTTCATTTTATATTACAAAGCAGAGCACAGAAATTACCTCTACCATAAACGCTGACAGGTTGTCAAGTCTTGTCATGCCGTTGACAGCTAGGTTATTATAATGCTAAACCTAGATAATTTCCTAATATAAGAGAACACTGTGTGGATAAAGAGAGTTATGGTTTATCCACTTGACTCCGCTGAGTACTCTATTAACATTTTCTACCTTTCTCATTTAAAAAACAAAATGTCTTTGCTTGTTTAATGAACAGTAAGATGCATGGTGCAACTAAAGCTAATAGCTACGTTCACATATACTGCTATACAGCTGCTAATGTCATTTAATCACATATGGGTTATAGTTTCAAAGAAAGGGAATTGTTAGCGATATTTCATTATACATAGAAAAATACCATTAACTTTCAATGGCTACCAGAAAATACAACTCAAGATGTTGCTCCAAACAGATTGCTTTAGCTAGCTAAGATCTTACACTAGCTAAATACATAGGCTAATTTAGGTAATTTAGATACCATTTAAAACAAGTCTTAAGGAGTGTTCACATAGAACATTAAGGGAAACACCATTAGTTGTCTTCTTGCATAATTTGGATAAGAAGTTTGGTACCACTCTCATGTCAGCATGTCAAATCTTAAGCTAACGCCAGCAGTCGGTTAGCTTAGCTCAACAGAAAAACTGCCGAGTCACAGTGAAGAATTACTGCTCACACAGAAATAACCCCCTAGTAAAAGCACAATATATGTTTTTTTTGGACTATAAATCAAAGTACAAGATATTCCAACTTAAATATGGAGGTGGTAAAAGGGGGTTTGTTAATTAGCTGGTTTTTTTGTTTTCTGTCTTTGTGCTAAGCTAACCAGTTGCTATAGCTTCCCATTTTTCCTACATAATGTATTGTTGCAGCCTACCTTTAAGGGCTGTAACTATGTTGGCCAAAGCACTTTTAAGACCTCACAGAGCTTATTATGAAGCTGCTTACTTTTAGTTGTACTAAAACTATTCTTCTTTCTCTTTGAAAATAGAGTTATGAGCAAAACAACGAAAGATGTTTGTCTTTTAAAGGCTTTGAAGTAAAAATATATTGCGCTAATCATCTTTTCTCTTTTATGCAAAAATAGCTTTATTCCTGTGTAATATTCCACTGTTATGTCTCTTTCTCTCTGTTCCTGCAATATGTATAGCCTACACCAAGCTATACTGCCTTAAACCAAGAACAAGTGGCATAGATAAAGATAAGGTTAAGAGAGAATTAAGAAGCAGCAAAAACAGATGAAAGAGAGAGTAGAGAGACCTAAAAAGGCAAGGGACTATTATGCTGGCCCTTCAGCTGCAGAGCCCACTTTATCATAATCTATCGCCTGTCATTACCTCCGATAACACACCTGTTATGATCCACCTTCTTACCGGTCAGACACATTTTAGAGATATTATGGAGACATTAATGGCGACAATCACCCGACAGTTATGCCGTGTATCCCCCTTAACTATTAATCTCAACCCCCCTTGAATCGTCTGGAAGGTGAAAAGTGTCTGTGCTCAAAAAGCCTCAACTGGTTTTGAATAAAACATGAGCTAAGAGGGTGTCAAGATTTTGCAATTTGGCACAGTGTGTACAATGCTTGGGGCCGTCATGAAGTTTATAAGAAATCTCAACAAAGATGTTCCTCTAGGTCCGACAGATAGCATCGTTAATCTGTTGGACATGTGGGAAAGTTGAACAGTATACAAATAGTTGCATCATCTGCTCTTTTGGATCAAGAATAAAGGCTTTCTGACACCAGTTGGTCACCTGTGGAACGGCTACACAGCTGGAAATGTGAGCTGTGGTTTGGGGGTGTTTTGCAAGCCTCCTGAGCTGGACATTTTTGTTCCAAAGCCGTCCAGGGCTAGTAGGGGAGCACTAAACACCCCCACATCTGTCAGTTTGACTCATGAAACTCGTGTTCGAAGGTTTTGCGGGCATCTAATGGCAGTTAAAGTATTATCTCATGGATTGTTACAATACTGAACACAACTAAACCTGTTCTTCTTTGGGTTCATTTGCAGTGCTGCGACACCATTGTTGCAAAAGCAGTGTCTTGGTTCAACAACTCAAAATGTACATTTGGTGTACGACCAGTGTCTAAAAACACCAGAAACATTTATTTGCGTTTATTCTCTGTCCATTTTGAGGAAATGGTTGGAGGAGTTCCATGCACAATGCTTAATTCTTCCATCAGGGTACATCATATTCATTTTGCATACAGTTATACCATTTATGGTTTGTCTTACAATCAAGTTTTAAGGGAAATCTCTATTGCCATTAACTTCTGTATGGATATTCAGATCGTAAATCCTCCAGACTTTGGTGATTATGTGACTTTTCCATTACTGCTAATATGAGGATGACATTTTTAGTTATGGATGGATTGCCAAAACATTTAAGCAGATATCAATAGACCCTAAATATTGAATCCTAATTGCTTTGGTGAGATTGATTAATTTGGCTGATGTTCATGTGTATATCAGTATGTAGTGTCTCTACTTTAAAGAGTCCTCTCCTGCTGATGTTCAGGTGTATATCAGTATGTAGTGTCTCTACTTTAAAGAGTCCTCTCCTGCTGATGTTCAGGTGTATATCAGTATGTAGTGTCTCTACTTTAAAGAGTCCTCTCCTACTGATGTTCAGGTGTATATCAGTATGTAGTGTCTCTACTTTAAAGAGTCCTCTCCTGCTGATGTTCAGATGTATATCAGTATGTAGTGTCTCTACTTTAAAGAGTCCTCTCCTGCTGATGTTCAGGTGTATATCAGTATGTAGTGTCTCTACTTTAAAGAGTCCTCTCCTGCTGATGTTCAGGTGTATATCAGTATGTAGTGTCTCTACTTTAAAGAGTCCTCTCCTGCTGATGTTCAGGTGTCTATCAGTATGTAGTGTCTCTACTTTAAAGAGTTCTCTCCTGCTGATTTTCAGGTGTATATCAGTATGTAGTGTCTCTACTTTAAAGAGTCCTCTCCTGCTGATGTTCAGGTGTATATCAGTATGTAGTGTCTCTACTTTAAAGAGTCCTCTCCTGCTGATGTTCAGGTGTATATCAGTATGTAGTGTCTCTACTTTAAAGAGTCCTCTCCTGCTGATGTTCAGGTGTATATCAGTATGTAGTGTCTCTACTTTAAAGAGTCCTCTCCTGCTGATGTTCAGGTGTATATCAGTATGTAGTGTCTCTACTTTAAAGAGTCCTCTCCTGCTGATGTTCAGGTGTATATCAGTATGTAGTGTCTCTACTTTAAAGAGTCCTCTCCTGCTGATGTTCAGGTGTATATCAGTATGTAGTGTCTCTACTTTAAAGAGTCCTCTCCTGCTGATGTTCAGGTGTATATCAGTATGTAGTGTCTCTACTTTAAAGAGTCCTCTCTGGCTGATGTTCAGGTGTATATCAGTATGTAGTGTCTCTACTTTAAAGAGTCCTCTCCGGCTGATGTTCAGGTGTATATCAGTATGTAGTGTCTCTACTTTAAAGAGTCCTCTCCTGCTGATGTTCAGGTGTATATCAGTATGTAGTGTCTCTACTTTAAAGAGTCCTCTCCTGCTGATGTTCAGGTGTATATCAGTATGTAGTGTCTCTACTTTAAAGAGTCCTCTCCTGCTGATGTTCAGGTGTATATCAGTATGTAGTGTCTCTACTTTAAAGAGTCCTCTCCTGCTGATGTTCAGGTGTATATCAGTATGTAGTGTCTCTACTTTAAAGAGTCCTCTCCTGCTGATGTTCAGGTGTCTATCAGTATGTAGTGTCTCTACTTTAAAGAGTTCTCTCCTGCTGATGTTCAGGTGTATATCAGTATGTAGTGTCTCTACTTTAAAGAGTCCTCTCCTGCTGATGTTCAGGTGTATATCAGTATGTAGTGTCTCTACTTTAAAGAGTCCTCTCCTGCTGATGTTCAGGTGTATATCAGTATGTAGTGTCTCTACATGTCTCCATGCTTTAATGTTCAAAAAGCTCTTTATTTTTCTCATACTGTCTGTGCTGCAGCACCTCTTTTCACCCTCTGTCTGAAACCAGAGCCCAGTCTGCTCTGATTGGTTAGCTGGCCGCCTCTGTTGTGATTGGTCAACCGCTCTGATATGTCCCGCCCATCACAAACAATGTGTTGGAGGGCTAGCCAATAGAACAGCGAGTGTTACACAGATTTCACCATGTTCTGGAAGGGAGGTTTCTGCAGGGAACTTTGGGATGTTTGCCTTTGCAGACCATTTACATGCACACAAACGTATAACACACTAAATGGAAGAGAAAACACCAACAAACCTAATAGGGCCTCTTTAAAGTAGTGGCACCAGCTCAAGATGTTCACTTATCTAATCTAGATAGATTGTTGACATTCATGGGTCCCAGATAAAGTACCATAAAGATGATTCCTCTGCTACCATGAGGTTGCCTGAGTATTATGCAAGAA